ATATTACTATTAAAGAAATTTCCTCTACAAATCTTCTCACAAAGAAATTCTAGGCGCAGACACTTACATGTGAATTCTACTCAGCATTTAACAAAGATATTTACCAGTCATACAGAAACTCTTTCATAAAACCAAGAGAGGGCAAGCTGAAAAATTAATTTTATAAGATCAGCATTCCCTTGATACTAAAACCTGACTAGGATATTTTAAGTAAGGAAAATTACTTAATTTTCCAATCTCACTCATGAACACAGATGAAAACTTCCTATATGAAATATTAGCAACCTAAATCCGGTGATATATAAAAAGACAACAAATTATAACCAAACTGATCTTGTTTCAGGAATATAAGGTTGATTGGACAATCAATGTAATTTGTCACAATAGAATAAAAGGAGAAAAATAATATGATTATATCAGTAGATACAAAAAAAAGTTTTGATAAAATTTAACATTAATTTTTTCAAAATTAAAAAAAAAATCTTCTAAGGTGACCAAGAATTGGAGGGAACTTCCTTAATCTGATAAAGGTTATCTAAAAAAATTTTTAAATAAAATAAAAAATGTACAACAAACATTATAGTTAATGGGGAAATGTTAAAAGCTTTCCCTTAAGTCAGAAATGAAATATGTTTTCACACTACACTCTATTCATCATTGTATTAGAGATACTAAACAAGTACCTAAGTGAATAAGGACTGGAAAGCAGGAAATTAGTGTTATATACAGATGATATAATTGCATACATGAAAAAAATCCAAAGATATCTATAGATATGTTACTACAATCAATAAGTGAATTAGGCAAGATTGATGCTACAAGTTGGGAGGTGAAAAATAGGGGATAGCTGGAATAGGTCATGGCATCAAGAAAGGATATTTTTTTAAGATGGGAGAGACTTAAATATGCTTACAAAAGTGAGAAATGTTTGATGCTTGGTTCAAGGGGTAAGATCCAAGCCAGGTGGAAGGAATGGCTTTAGAAAGAAAAGTTGGGTGTAAACATAGGTTGGTTTGTAGATTTGGTATGGGAACTGAAGAGAATTCCCAACTGATAGCTCCAATTCTCTCAGCAATATAGGAGATATGGAGGAGTGAAATGCAAGTTTGCAAAAGTAAAGAGTTTTAAAGTAGTCCTTGTGGAATGTGAGAAAATGAGCTGACAAGAGAAATATGGTGCCATTGCTGACCAGTCCCAAGAGTCTATTTAAGAATGGAAAGCATGAATGTACGAAGACAGCTGACAGTAAGACTGATGTGGGATGGGGTTTTAGACATTGGCAAGAATGACCTTGAAATGACAGAAGACAGTATCTAAGCTGGATAAGGAAGGACGTGAAGAATGGGGTTGCTAATGAGTTGGAGACAGAAAACAGATAAATGATCAGTGGATGTCCTGAGGAAAACCACATCTTTTCATCTTTCTCATCTAATTCTGTACCTTTCTATAGCTTATCTCACTCAGAGGCAATGGGGATCTTGAAGTGTTGAGACTAACCCTCCCAAGGACACAGCCAGAGTAGAAATGTCTCCTCAAGAACACTGGTCCTATCAGTTAGGATACCTTCAGCTGCAAGCCATAGGAAACCATGACTAAAAATGCCTTAAAATAAGAAGATCCAGACATAAAGCAAACTGCAGGATTGGCTTATTCAGAGGCTCGGTGATGTCACTGATGACTGAGGTCCTTTCCATATGTCTGCCTTGCTGTCTTGTTCTCAGAAGACTTCTCCTTGTGGTACCAAGGGACCATGTCTTGGTCAACTCTGTATTTACAGTGCCTGACACATAGGTTTTCCAAGTGTCCTTGTAGAATGAATGAATGAATGGGTTTATTTCCTGGTGTTTTTCATAGACATAGAATAGAAGTCCAATCAGCCTGACAAAATAAGGATTTTAATATTAGACTTGGCTCATATCCTCAGGAACCCCTGGATGCTACGATAACGGACTCCCTCTGAGAACTGTCTAAATCTGGGCAAACCACCATCCTGTGGTCCTGGGGCATGCTGAGGCTTGGGAAGGTGCCAAATTAGCTGCTTTAAGCAGAGGTCCTCCAACCCTTAGGCTCAAGCCCCCTCCCTGTTATGAGTCCACCTTTGGCACCAGCCCCAGCCCTCGGCTCCCTGGGATATCCCCCTCCTCTCACGTCCCGGAGCGTGCATATTGTTATGTCCTCATCTGTTCGTGTCTTGTCTACTCACCTACACCATAGCTTTCCTGAGCACAGGGGCTGTGGCTTGTACATCACTTCCTGTCTGACACACCTTATTAACATCTGCATTTGAGTTTGGGTTCAATGATTACCTCCCTGGTGACCTGAAGCAAAGCCATGGCACTCTCTGAGGGTCGAGCCTCCTACTCTATAAACTGTTCCCTAAGGTTCCATCTAGCTCTCACAACTCTCTGTTCCTTTTGAATGATGTTTGTGGCTCTCAGGAAGGATACAATGAAAAACAAAAAGCACGGCTGCCAAACAGCATAGTCTCAATTGCTGACGGAAAAGATTATAGCAAAAACTCCAGAAGAAAACAAAGATGGACTGATGGTGTGGAAGAGAGGAAAAAATAGAAGCAGGGAGAGGACTCAAACCAAGGTAATAAAGGTCCTTAGCCTGGCAACTCCATGGGATGCTGTCTGCAGACACAGGAAACCTGTGAGGGTCACCTGGACTGAAACTCCAAGTGTAGGGGCTATGAAACTGCAAGGCTGGTGGGGATGCACGACTCACAGGTGACCTACCCTTTCCACTCCTCAGCTGTTCAATAGAAATTTAATGTGACCCACATGTAATTTAAAATTTTCTAATAATCACATTACAAAAAGTAAAAAGAAACAGTGAAATTAATTTTAATAAGGTTTTTTGTTAACCCAATATATCAAAAATATTATTTCAACATGCAACAAAAAGTTTGAACTATTGACAAGGTATTTTAAATTCATTTTTGTTATACTGAGTCTTTCAAATTCGGTGTATATTTTACACTTACAGCACATCTCAGTTCGGACTAGCCATATAGCAAGTGCTCAAGAGCCGTATGGACAGCTCATGTCAAAATGATGTGAAATTTGGGAGGCAAGTGTTCAGTTGTATTTTAAATGCTGGACACTGTTCTAGACTCTGGGGATAAAGCATGAATAAAGCAAGAAAGGTCCCTTTTCCCATGGAATTGACATTTTGTATGAGACACGGGATGTGAGCAGATTTCTTTTTAAGTCTGTTTCAGATGGGAACAACTGCTATGAAAAAGGAAAAATGGGGTGACTTCATACATAGAAAGCAACTAGAGAGAAAAAGGTGGAAACAGCTTTAGATAAAAATAGTTAGAGGGTCAGGACGACTCTGAGAAGGTGAAATTTGATCACATATCTGAAAAGCAAGAGAGAGCCAGCCAAGTGAAGACCTGAGGGTGAGGCATTGCAGGCCAATGAAGTCAGTGCAAATGCCCTGGGGTCGGGCTGAGCTTGTTTGGGCTTGAGAAGCAGAGAAGGTCAGTGTGGCAGCAGTGTGAGAATGAAGGTAACAGTGATAAAGAAGAATTCAGACAGGTAGACAGCTACCAGACCATGCTGGGCAATAGGTCTCAACTCTGGCTGCAATATAGAATTAGCTCTACAGCTTCTAGGAAATACTCATGCCCAGCACCCCACCCTCACTGTGAGATGCTGGATCAATTGGTCTGTGGAAAGCCCAGACATCCGTATTTTTAGAAAGCACTCAGGTAATTCTAAAGTGTAGGCAGGGTTGAGACCCGCTGGAGTACCAAGTTGCAGACTCCAGGAGAGAGATCATATTTATTCTAGATGCAGTGGGAAGGCATTGAAGGATTTAGGGGAATGTGTGACGTGCTCTGATTCACCTTTTAAGGGTTGATGCTGTGTGGAGGGTGGACTGTGGAGGATTAACAGCAGAAGAAAGGACACTAGTTAGGAGCCCCCTGGAGAGAGAGCGTCCAGGGAATCAGGATGCATGTTGGGCATAGGACTTGCTGACCAGACTTGCCAATGGAGGAGGTGTTAGGAATGACGGACGGAGGTAAATCCTTGGAGTCCAGGAATCATTAGCAGCACCAGGCATGTTCTGAGGACCTACTGTGCGAAGGGCTGGCCCTATGGGGTTCCATCGGCAATGGCAGGAAAGCTGCCTCCACAAATCTGTTTAGGACTCCCTGGAGGAGAACCCAGGAATGTCATAACAACTTGACAGGAGGTGGGGCTGGAGGTAGGTGCTCCTCAGAAAGGCGGCACTTCCTCTGAACATCCATATTAAATGTCCAAGGTGGACTGACTGTCAACATCTCTTTGTTCTCCCTTTGACACGTAATCTGTGTCTGGGCCCAGAGTGGACCTTACCCTAGCACTGTTGGCTCCATCCGCTCCCCCATTCCCTGAAGGCTTTTCTGGCCCTGTCCCTGCTGTATTTAAGTGACCCAGGAGTGGGCGGCTGATCAAGGCCAGGCCAATAAGGGGACATCATCGCAGAGACTGGGAGGCTGCTGAGCTCAGTGCGCCTTGGAGCTGTCAGCTGCCACATTTCTTCCATGAGGAGTGAGACAGCACGACACAGACAGAAAGCAGCAGAGGGAAGCCTCCTAGAGGCCTTGGAATCCCTGCTTCCAGCTGTTTCTGAGGCCCAGCTGTGTACCTGCCCTTCCTGAGGCTGTGGGAGTAACCCTTAATAGGTGAAATTCACGCAACACAAAATCAACCACTTTAAAGTGTACGGTTTAGTGGCATTTCACACACTAACAATGTTATGCAACCGTCACGTCTATCTAATTCCAAAACACTTTCATCCCAAAAGAAAATCCCAGACCCACTAAGTAGTCACCATCCAGCCTCCTCACCACCCCAGACACTCCACCCCTAGGAACCACTAATCTACTTTCTGTCTCTGTGGATTTACCTATTCTGGACATTTCACATAAATGGAATCATACAACATGTGACTTTGTTTCTGGCTTCTTTTATTTAGTATAGTGAAGGTTCAAGGTTCATGCATGTTGTAGCCTGTATCAATTTCTTTCCTTCCTGTTGCCGAATAACGTTCCACATTTTGTTTATCCATTCATCCATTAATGGACATCTGAGTTGTTTCCACCTTCAGGCTATTGCGAGTAGTGGTGCTATGAACATAGGCGAACAAGTTTTCGTTTGAGCCTCTGTTTTCAATTTTGGGGGGCATACACCTAGGAGTGGAAAGGCTGAGTCATATGGTAATTCTTTTCAACTTTTTGAGAAACCACCAAGAGCAGTGTTTTCTTTTTGCTTAAAGCTGTACACACTGTATTTCTGTCAGTTTCGTGAAGAAGAGTCCTGCCATTATGGACTCAAATCAGCTTTCTGGTTCATTCAGCAAATCCACCAACTCCTTTGCAAATACATGGTCCCAGACACCCCAACAGCAGCAGCAGGACAGGATGCGGGGCCAGTCCTGTCACCTTGCCCTGACTCTACCTGTGCTATACCCTACTGGCCCTCTTTTGCCCCCCACTGTTGCCCCTAGCACACTCCTGCTCCCCTCAGCGCTGGCTCTAGGCTCCTCAATCTTCTTGGCTCCTTCGCGTCCCCATTAAGTGACACACCCCATCAGCACACACTTCCTTCTCTTCTCTCTACCTCAACAGTGCTTACCTGTGGCCCACCCTAAGTCCCCATAAAGCCTTCTACCCCTGACCCCATAGCCCCTGTACTCCCTTCCTCCGGGGCACACCTACAGCCCTTATTACAGGTTTCCACCCAGTTTCGCCCTCAGTTTTGTGTTTCAGCCCACTGCTCCTGTAATTTCAGGTGTCAGACAGTAATCTCTGCCACCTGTTTCTCTGAGGGCCCCCACAGCCTCCAGCAAGGCAGGCATCCAGTGCAGTACACACAGATGGCTGAAATGAAGCAAGAACGCCTCTGATGCAATAAACCTCCGCCTCAGTGCAGAGTGCAGATGTCCTGTATGATCATCGTAAATTCCTTCCCTTTCTAGCCTTTACAAAACAGAAGTGATATTTTCCAGGGTCTACATCACAGGTAGAGGTATTTTGAGCATCCAAGGCAATAAAGGACAATGACGGTTAATAGTTGTTTTTGAGCACAGCAACCCTGCAAGGTAGGGATTGTTATACCAACTTTACAAATGAGGACATGGGACTGAGAGATGAAGAAACGGCCTGAGGTCAATCTGCTATCAGTGCTAATGTTGGGTTTTGATCTAGACCAGTCTGACTCCAAATTCTAGATTCCTTTCACCATACAAAGCTGAAATTGCATTGAAATTGCAACATATTAGACTGTATACTAGCAAGACGGTAAGGAAACGATCACATTGATTGATCTATTAATTGTTATACATCATAGGAGACTGGTGGAATTCTTTTGAAAAGCAATTTAGCAATAAGTATCAAATCCTTAAGTGTTCCTACCACTTAACCTTGATGAACTTATGCTCAGGAAATCAATTTGATAGTATAAAAAGTTACAGGCACAGGCTATTCATTTCTGTATTATTTGTAACAGCAAGAAATTGGGAGTAATCTCAATGTCAATCTCAAATATAGCGGATTAGTTAGGAAAATTCTACAGTGTCAAGTCAAAGGAATATTATACAGCATTAGTTCTCAAACTGGGACAATTTTGCCCCTCAAGGGAAGGGAAGGGAAGGGAAGGAAGACAATTTTGGTTGTTCCAGCTGGGAGTGGGGAGTAAGTTCTATTGGCATCTAATGGAAAGAGGCCAGAGATGCTGCTAAACATTCTACAATGTATAGGATGGACCCCAAAATATCAATAGTGTTGAGGTTGAGAAATAGAATTTCTCAAGAGAAAAAGTAGAATTCCAAATGTGGCATAAACCACGATTTTAACCATGGAAAACTATCTTGCATATGAGGAAATACTAGATGAAAACATGGAAAATTTTAAAAATATATTGGTGGAAATAGAGATAAATCTTGTTCTTTGAAAAGTTCTTTAATGATGTTACATTATTTTTACACTAAACAAAACTGGAAAAAAATTGAATTCAACTCACTAGAGTTGCAATTGTTATTATCTACATCTAACATGGTGCATGGTACTTTTTTGTGTACTCAATACTTTTGGAAAGAAGGACTGTAATTTTTTTTTTTTTTTTTACAAAAGCTACATGAACAGATCTGGATCAAAAGTCATATTTTTAGAAAACCATCCAAATGTTATATCCACTATCTTGATCAGGACTCCTTCTGATGCAAAGAACAGAAATCAAATAGAAACTAGCTTATACAAGAAAAGAAATATATTGGTACACGTGACTTGGAAAAAAAAAAAGGCTAGACCTGGTATCAGGTAAGATGGATCCAAGAGCTCAAACCATGCCATCTTCAAATTGGTATCCTCTGTGACTTCTCCCTTTCACTCTCAAACGACCACCACACACCCATTCTCTGAGTGTGACCCTCCTTTGCTACTGCATAAAGCCTCCTTGTGCAGATAAGGGACAGAAGAGGCACAAAAGGCTCTAGGCTTAATATCATTTCAAGTATCCAGCTCTGAAGCCAGAGAAAGAGAAAACTATCTCAGATTCCTTAGAGAATATCTCAAGGTAGGTTTTCGATTGGCTATGTTTGGGCCACACATTTATCCATTGGTGCAACTGCTATGGTTGAATGCCGTTAATAGAAAGTAGGAGCAGAATTTGCAGGAAAAAAGTCTAGATAGACAAAAACAACAAATGTTCACTATCCTCATGAATTGGCAAACAATTTGAAAACATTTAGTGACATAGACATAAGAGTGAGGTATGAGGACAGAGCTCAAAAGCAAAATGTTTTGGATTTCATGTTATCAAAAAACAATGAGATATTTTGGTGGGCTGCGTTTTTCTGCAATGAAAGAGGTAGGATCATGGAATCACAGAGCTGAAAGGGGCCTTAAAGAATGTCTTGATCAATCATCTTGTTTCTGCAGATATAAGGTAAGAAACACATTTTTTTGGAAGGCTACAGTATGCATAGTCCTAGCCTACGCCCTGGATACCTGGAAGAGTGGGAGAGCCCATCCCTGTCATCCAGGTCAGCCCTTCACAGCAGGACAGGACACGAAGATGGACCTTGGCCTTTAAGGCTATTCACTGAAGTGGATCTCAGAAAGGATGGACTCGGTGAATGAGCTGAAGGAGGTATTATTTAGAGCAATGGCTTTCAAAACTTTTTAATGGAAACTCAACAAAAAGTACATTTTACATTGCAATTCTGTATATATACAACACATAATTGAGACATTAGTCTGATGAATCTTATCCGTTCTACATGTGAGGCAGTCTGGTAGTTTTTACTCCATTCTATTTTATTTCATCTTAAAAAATATATTTTTGATGGCCCATTCAGTTGATTTCAAGCCAAGACCCACTAATAGTTTGAGACCAGCAATTTGGAACATGAATTAAAAGAAGCTTTACATGTATTATTAATAAGGCTCCCTTAGTCCTATATGTGGGTGGTACTTGAAGTTTCCACCATCAGACTCACCATTAGGGACTGAGGCATCTCCAGAAATCCCCTTGAAAATGCAAATATCTTAATCTGGAGAAATAACAATCTATTAAGACCTACTGAATGCTTTTCTATAGGATCACATGAAAACTGTCAGAGCAATACTGGTAGCACCACCTGGAGAAGGAAAAGGTTGATGGGGCCTGGGCATCAGCAGATGGCAAGAAAAGCTGCAAGAAATGCAGACATTGTTTTTCTCTTTCATTCATTCAAAAGCTGATTAAATTATCTGAGCTTCTGTTTCCTTGTTATAAAATAGGGCGAAAATTGTTACGTGCCGTAAAACTACTGCATCTGGAGATGGAGATACATTCCCTTATGTGACACACCCAGCAGGGCCAGGCATCTAGTAGGAGCCCATGGTAAAATGTTTCATTTTCCCAACTTTTGACTCCCTTCCTTGAAAGGTGATTGGACATCCTGCCATCACCATGTGACTTAAGTACTTTCCTGTAGGCAGGGTTCATATCCCCACCCATGTGAGGTTCGGTCACATAATTTCTTAGGCCAATGTGACTTGAATGGAAAGGACAGACAAAAAGCATTAGGGACAATACGAATTTCTTCCAGGTCTCTTGCTCTTTCCTTCAGCCATGGCTCATCTCAAATCAGGGCTTCCCCTTCAGCGGGGGATCCCAGATGAGAAGACACATGGAGCAGAGCCACATCTGACCCAGAGTGTTCTTGACACAGATACAAATCTATGTTTTTGTTTTTTTTCCTTAGATTGGTACCTGAACTAACATCTGTTGCCAATATGTTTTGGTGTTTTTTTTTTTTAATTCTTCTCCCCAGAGCCCCTAAGTACATAGTTGTGTATTCTGGTTGTAGGTCCTTCTGGCTCTGCTATGTGGGATGCTGCCTCAGCATGGCCTGATGAGCGGTGCCATGTCCACACCCAGGATCCGAACCAGAGAAACCCTGGGCTGCTGAAGCGGAGCGCGTGAACTTAACCACTCAGCCACAGGGCCGGACCCATAAATCTATGTTTTATAAGCCACTGAGGTTTGGGGGTTACTTATTACTGAAGCAAAACTGATTAATACAGACTCCCCCAGACAGAAGGAGGATCGGGAAGAATAGGAAGAGAACGATGCAGGATAACAGGAGGAGAGGAGGAAAACTTTTGAATATCTCTTGGGACTTAAAATCATGTTAATGTCTGTGAGAAATATAAGACGAAGTTTAGGATATACGTGTAGCCCTCTAGAAGTTTAAAATCTGGTTAGAGGGGAGCCATGGACAAATGAAATGGCCTAGGCACAGGGACAGCAGAATGTACGGCCAACGCATGCTCCAGACCTGAGGCTGCAGTAATTCCAGGTGTGGACAGATTAACTGTTAGTAGCATGGAGGGAACTTAAGGACTTGAGTGAGACTTGAAGAATACATAGCACTCAAGAGGCTGCTATAGGTTGAGCAAAGGGCACAGAATGCAGGAAGTGGGGACATCTCAAAGGGAGATGCCACGGCTGAGGAAGACATTTGTGCCTTGAGGAGTCCATGACTTCTCCTAGGGACCATCCCAAGTACCTCTGCCTCTTTGTCAGACTTGTCTCACTGGCCCACCTGTCTCTTTGGTGGGTGAAATAAAGATAATTAATCAGAGACCAGCAAATGCAAACGGAGCCACAGAGATGCATGGAACCCTGGAGGCTCTGCCATGTC